CCCAGCATGCGCCCAGCCCCCAGCCAGCCTCCTGTCGGGCTGCCATCCCGGAGGGGCACACCCTGACCCCCCAGCAGCCTGTGCCCCACGCTGAGGGACAGCGCAGTCTGAGCCGGTCCCACTGTGCCGGGCGTTACTGCTGGCCGGGCACATCCAGCCCCAGAAGAGGAGGGTCCCAGCCCTGTTCAGCAGCCACAGCAGCTCAGTATCACCCTTGAGGGGGACACTTCTCCGTGGCCAAGCCCTGGCCGCCAGCAGAAGGACAGTGACACAAGTCCTTGCCCATCAGTCAGCCCCACGACCCGTGGAGGAGCTACTGGGGGTCTGCCCGGCGAGGCTTGATGTCGCGGGTCTTCATGTAGGAGAGCAGCTGCTCGGGGATCTCGGCAAGCACGTCCTTGGCCAGGCGGGCCATGCTCAGCACCTGGTTTCCCGAGTCGTCCACGTAGTCCCGAAACGGCACAAACTTTGAGGGAAAAGAAGGTTGCAGCCCGGTTGGAAACACCCCTGCAGCTGCAGGAGTCAGCAAGTGGCTGAGCGTTTTCTCAGCCGCGGTGGGGCTGGGCCGGACGCCAGCGTTACCTGTACGATGTCCCGCTCAGCATAGCGGCCCCGGGAAGATACTCGCACATCGTCACCGTCCAGCTCCTCCATGGCTGGGGGGTGACAGCTGGTGTCACTGAGTGTTGGTGGGGTAGCCACCAGGGACAGAAACACCGTCCCTCCCTCCGGCATGCCTTTAGTGTCTCGTAGAAAGGGACAGTGTTTCCATCCCCCTTTCCTGCAGTCCCCAAGCCCCAACTCACCCTCAAACTCAGCTGGACCCACTCCCACAATGATGATGGACATGGGCAAGGAGGAAGCCTGTGGAACAGAGGCAGGGGGGCAGCTGGGGCAGCAGCCGGGCAGCAGCTGAGCTGACGGCAAGGAGGGTGCACTCACGGTGACGATGGCTTCCTTGGTCTGCAGCATGTCAGAGATGACGCCGTCAGTGATGATGAGGAGGACGTGGTACTGCGAGCCATCGGTCACCTGGGCAGCCGCGCTGTGGGGAGAAGGGATGGGGTCCCTCCAGCAGCCCCCACCAGCGTGGGGCAGCCCACCCTGCTGTGCGACCGGTGGCATTTGGGGACAGTGAAGGGGACAGAGCCCCCAGGTGCTCACCCAGCCACCTGGTTGATGACGGGGGCGAAGTTGGTGGGACCGTAGAGCTGGACGGTGCGCAGGCTCTGGAGGTAGCACTCCAGCACGCCCTCGATACCGGCACAGCTGGGGTTGTCCACGTTGTTGTTCTGGGGGTGGGGACAGATGCTCGGAGGGGAAGCACAGCTCCCCCTCAGCTGTGGGATTTTGTGGGCACTCCCGCCCTAGTATTCCCACCCCAGGGCGCACCAGAGGGAACTGGTGGGAGATCTTGCCGTCGGGTGGGAGTTTGGCGCCAAAGCCGTAGGCAGGGAAGAGCTTGTCACTGTCGTAGTCCTGGATGATCTCCCCCACCGCCTTCAGCGCCAGGGCGTAGGCGCTCAGCTGGTAGGGGCTGGCGTAGTGCAGCGAGGTGGGCTGCGACGGCATCCCTGCGGCACAGCGCCCGTCAGCACCGCCCCGCGCCCGCCTGAACTCACCGTTGGAGGCCGTGAAGTCGATGGCGACGGTGAAATTCAGCTGCGTCCTTGGGGTGGGGGGGAGAGCGAGGGAGGCTCCTGGCCCCACGGCGCAGGGATGCTGTCTTCTAGCCCCACAGCGTGATGTGTGTGTCCCCCCCTTCCCCAGCAAGCACCCCACAGCCCAGGGCCACTTTTCTGCACCACCTCCCCAGCCCCACCACCCCTTGTCAGCCCCCAGGGCTGCACCTGCACCAACACCACCATCCTGGCCCCAAGACCCTCGCCCATGGGATGGGTCTCAGGGAGCCGGGGGGCACTCGGCCCCCCACTCACCCGCCTCGGATGTAGTCAACAAATGTGAATTCGGACTCGACGGAGAAGGAGAGTAAAGTCACCTGCAGGCACGGGGGGTCAGACCCAGACCCTCACCCCCCTGTCAGGCACAGCAGGGGCATCAGACCCAGCCCCTCACAAGCAGGACTCCCGGAAGCACCTCAGCCCACTCACAGTGCCAGAGTTCACATATTTCTTCTTCTTGCATTTCTTCCTGGGGTTCAGCACCTGCAGGCACAGGGAGAGGTTGTCCCTAGTGTGGGGTGCCCCTGGCCTCCCTCCCCAGCCCCTGGCCCTACCTCGTACACCGTGAACTGGCTCTGTGCTCTGGAGAGCTCCCGGTAGCTGGTGGCAAACTCCCCGATGAAGTCGTGGCTGTGGAAGAGGCCCAGGAGCCAGGCACCCTGGTAAGAGGCACCCTGGGAAGCAGTGGCAGCACCCTGATGTCCCCTGCCACCCCACGGGCACAGCCTCACCTCCCATCCCTGTCCCAGTCGTACACATCTATCTTCACTGTCCTGAAAGCAAAGGTGTGCAGAGGCTGAGCTGCTGGCATGGCCACCTCTGGCCCCCATGGTTTGGGGACACCCCCCCAGCAGCCCATCCCACAGCCAGCTGCTGGCAGAGCTGCCCTGCATCTCTGCAGGGAGGGAAGTGGGAAATTTGGGTCACGGCAGGGGCCCTGGAAAGGAGGGGGATGCCTTTATGTAATTTGGGTTGCAAAAGAGGGAAAAAAAAAAATAATAACCAGTAGGGACCCATTTCTGCCTGCTGCTGTGAGGCCACACCATGAAGGAGATGCTCTGGCCCCACAGCCAGCCCTGTCACCACCCTGCCGGTCCCGGTCCCCGTACCGGTCGTAGTCGCCATTGCAGAGGGCGCGCACGGGGATGGTGAAGGGCTGCCACACCGGGTTCAGCGTGTTCTTCACCACCTCTGTCTTGTGGCAGATGGTGAAGCTGTGGGGAGAGGGCAGGGTCAGGGCACACTGTACGGCCATGCTGGGACCCTGCCCACCCCGCCAGGCCCCTGCACTCACGTGCCGTCCTCGTTGCTGCGGTAGAAGACGAGGAAGGGGTCGGATTTTCCGAAGAAGTCCTTCTTGTCCAGCTTGTTGGCACACAGCTGCATTGTGACGATGTCCTGGGGACAGGGACCGTCACTGCTGGCTGCTTCCTTGCCCCTGGCCCCACCAGCTGCCTGTGCTGAGGGGGCTGTGCAGCCCCCACCTCGCCAGTGCTGGGACACAGGCTCTCACCCGGCAGTTGCTCAGCTCCTCGGCCAACAGCAGGATGGTCCCACACCGCTTCCCTGGGACACCCCTGGGACCGGAGGTGCCAGCTTAGCTTGGGGACAAGGGGACAGGACAGGGGCAGGAGGAGGAGTCAGGGCTGGGGCTCATGCCCCACAGCTGGCACTCTCAGGGGACATGCAGAGAGGGGTTCCGTGGGGTGGGTGTGGGGACACAGCGTGAGCCCCCCCCTTGTCCTGCCATGGGCAG